ATGATAAAGTTATATGTGAATGTATTAACAATCAGGGAAATGTAAGATAAGATATATGCACATTTATTTAAACAAATTTGGGACGTTTATATACATACCACATAATTCTTGTATATTTACATATCTCACCCAAATCCTTCATATTGCTTCAAAAGTATCACTAGAAGTGATCTTAAAAGTGAAATGTACCTTTCGGATCAAGTAGAATAAAAGTAAAAATCTAAGTTCAAGGGTTCCATTCGTAAATACATATGAATTATGTGGTGTGCATGTAAATTGTTCAAAATGGTTTATAATCATAGTAAATATTATTTAAATCAATTGTAATCATTGAGATGTCTATCATTTTTGAAGCAATATTGAATGCAAATGTTATGTCAAATAAACAAAAATATTGCTATTTTTAAATCATAAGCAAATTATTTCTTTAATTATCAACTTTTTTTTTATATATTTTGCATTAAAATACAACTAAATCCTTTCAAAATTGCATATTTGATACTTTTTCTTGTCAATTGTTGTTCAGATAGCTGGAAAATATTACGTACGTCGTTTGAATGTTCGGATGGCAACATCATGTTAGCTCCCAAGCGGATTTATTTATTTTGGAAAAGAGAACAATTTCATATTAGAATCATTGAAAAATGAGTGATTAAATGAGTAATTAGAGAATAATTAATAAAAAAATATTTCATATAAAATATTATCTTTTAAAATATTTTTTAATTATTAAAGATAAAATCTTAAATTTTAATATATATTAGGTATATTTTATGTTAGTTATTTTCAAAATGAGAGCTCAGCTCGAACTGGTGCACTAATCGGCTTGGTTGAGTTACAACCCTAGTTGCACGCATTAATTAATTATTTATAATTACATGATTATTATGATTAATTTTATTGACTTGCTCGTAAAATAATGATGATATTATTAATGTCTCAAAAAAATCTATGCTACTTTACATCATTTTGTAAAGCTAAAAATGTGAATGAATCATCATATTCAACAATGTTAGAAGAAACTAAATGCATGATGATTAAAAATAACTTGATTTAAATAAATACCCTCATAATTTCCAAAAATAATATTTTTAAAAATATATCTAAATAAATAAAAATATTATAAATTGCTAATCATATTTAAACATATTTATCTTAATAATGCATGATGATTTCTTAGTATAATCCTAACATTTATATTATTTTATAATATATATAATTAATTATTTAAATAATTTTTTAAAATAATATAAAAAATTAGTTTAATTTCATACAAACCACATGAAACTTGTTATTTACAAATCAATCTTTCTCTTTCATCCATTTTTCAAATTAAAAATCAAATTTCATGGTAAAACCACAAACCATGTTTATTATTGCAGATAATTACATATTCGTTTATCCCCTCAATCCACCCCCTTCGAGCCCGCGCACACTTCAGCCTGCTCCCCGCCCCGCCCCGCCCCGAGCGCTCACGGTCTCTACTCAGCCACACAGCTAGTACTCCGTTCTCCGGTCAAAGCAATCGAACGAGGAGAAGGAGAAGATAGAAGCGCCCGCCCGCTCACGGTCTCTACTCAGCCACACAGCCAGTACTCCGTTCTCTGATCAAAGCAATCGAACGCGGAGAAGGAGAAGATAGAAGTGGAATTGTGGGAATCTCAACTTTGGAGAAGAAGAACTGAACTGCACTTCCCTAAGGTCCAGAGGTGGGGGAAACAAGAACAAAATGAAGATATGAAGGAGGTGATTGCAATCGAGGTGAAGTCCTAAACTGTTTTTTGTTCCTTATTGAAAGAAAAAAAAAAAATGCAACTGCTATGAATGCAGGATCGTAGAACTGCGCTGATTAGTGTGCTACAGATTTTAAGATTATTCCTATTCTGACTGGAAGATTCATAAATTTTTATATATTTGAATGTTTTTTCACGATTTGATTGATAGAGCAGAGAAATTTTTTATGCTCTGCGTGCCGTTTAAAAGGATGTAGCTTACTGGGAATTATAAGAGAAAACAATAGCATGCTTATGGTTGAACTAGGGTTTAAAGATTGTACTTGCCCTCTCTGAAATTTGCCTGGCGTTGGCTGGATCTCTGGGACGAGCAAAGCTCGAGCTTAGCTACACCGTTAATGGGGGCTGAGATGCCTTAAGTGGCTTGGCTTGGATTAGGGGAGTCTGGTGAGTGAATGAAGACTTGGGATAGCTGGAATTCTCCTTTTTTTTTTTTTTGGCAGCGGGGGTAGTTTCCTCTTTAAAGTGCCATTAAACGATCCTTTAATCATGAAAAACCATGGTTAAAGGTCTTCTCCTAGTACCATCTGGCCTGATCGAAGAAAATCAACGGTGAAGGAATTGTGTTAAGAGTGATTTGAAGAATTGCTCAGCATATGGTAGGTGGAGGAATCATACTGGCCAAATGTACTAAGGTTTATCTTTAGTTACTATTTAACCTATGTTAAATTGGGTTAACCATGTATTAAATAAAGATTCTATGGAATTAATTTAGGTTGTTGAGTAATTAAAGAAATTAATCCCTATAATCTATTCTATTTATAAATGGGTTTAAACCCATTAAATCTAAGTTTAGTTGAAATGTGTCTTGTTGACCCATTTAGCTTAGCTGTCCCAAAAAAAATCAAATGATTCAACCACTTTGGGCTAATTTTCTAACATCCTAAGAGAGTTCTATGTTTAAGGGTTTAATTTAATTAAACAAAATTAAAATGAGTTATGTTGACCCATTTGACCAAAGTTGGTCAAACTTGGTTAACCATGGGTTGGTAATGCCACTACCACCCTAGGGAAGTTCTATGTTGAATTAATTGAATCAATTTGTTGTTTAAGGTCAGTCTGATTTATTTGACTCTTTTTATTTCATTCGGATAGAATTGGTCCAATCAGATTAAATTGATACAAATGATGGATTAAATGCCCTAATCTGAATGTGTTTTACGTTAAGACACCTTATTGCTCCTTTAGGGTCCATTTAAGTTATTCAACTTGTTGGGTGTTTGAATCGATCAAAATAACCCTTTTAGAGTCTATGAGGGTTAACCTTGTTTTTCACTAACTAATTGGCCACCTTATAGGGTATATAGGAATATAATAGTCTCCACTAGCCTAAGGAAATTTTACATTATGTTTAGAACTCATTGGTTAAGATAATTGAATGGATCAAGCCTTCTTAGGTTCATGTTTTACTAAATAAATCAATTTTGATCTTTCATTGTCAAAGGTTGACCTTGACCGAACATAGGATTAATTGAGCTTAGCTTATTTATCAATAAATAATTGATCTTTTTTCAAAGATTTGTTATGCTCAAATTATTAAAAAATAAAATTTTTCAAATTTCATTGATTCACGCCTACTCCAGTGACCAGTTATGGCTAACACATTCATGGGTCCAATATTCTTAAGCCCTCCAAATAAGGTTTGACTGTATGATAGGATTATTTGGTTGACAATCACTAAATATTTTTATGAGTCTTAGGTAATGGTAGAGTGTTGTTTTGCCGTGACCATTATCTCTAAGACTAAATGGAAAAATGAGAAGAAGATTGGATGTTCACTAGGATCAATTGTTCTTAGGACAAGATTTACTTTAGAATGAACTAGAGATGTTGACATCTTCAATGTTAACAGATTTTTTTTGCATTTAAAAAAGAATAATCATACTAAGGATTTTGCATCACCAATCTTCCATTATTTTACAACATTCCGTTTGGCTTCTATGAGTCTAAAATGTTAATATTTGCAATCCAATAACATGGATGTGCCAAACTCGGCTGAAATGGGATATACATACCCGTCATAGATTTTTGATGAAATTTCAGTTGAGGATCTATTTTGTGAATATACTCCTGATGAGAAAGATCTTGTTGAAGTAAATGCAAGAGCTATGGTGCTTTAGAACTTAGTTATTATTTAATGACATTACTTCTTAAACTTAGAAAAAAATATAGGACAATCTTATTATAGCATGAAGGAAACAATGTAGATCTTGCTCATTAGGAGAACAGTTTTGGGTGTAGACACCATTTACATAGATAGCACACAGTTCTTATGTATTTACATATATCACACAAACTTTCATATTTACACGCATATCATTCAAATTTTTAATATTACATTAAAAATAGCACTATTATCACTTTTTTAAAGTGAAATCTACCTTTTCATGCATATGAAAAATAGCACTATTATCACTTTTTAAAAGTGAAATCTACCTTTTCATGCATATGTTTAACACTCCAAAGTCCTATATACATAAATATGAAAGTTTAGGTGTGAGATATGTATATAAATAAGAATTGTGTGCTAGGTATGCAGATCTTCCAATTTTGAAACATCAAATGGCAATAAAGACAAGCATTGATGTAAATTCCGATCTCAAGGGCAACCCTTGATATTTTTATTGAATTATAGGACAATTTTCAATTACAACACCAGGAGCGGTAGGACAACTTGCAAGCGGGCAATGATCTTGCGCAACACCCCCCCACCAACCAATTCCAAAGATGTTATGTGATTGTAATACAAAATATATGAGTATTCCCATGAAGGCTACTCCAGCATCTAAAGCAGCTGACATAACATATGTGTGCCTTGCCCACCAGTTCTTATACCTCCTGTAAATATAATAATTGAAAAAAATTCCAACCGCGCCCCACATGTTAAAGTTCACTGAGTGTACTGGTGGAACCGCAGCTCCACCTGAGATGAGTAAGGGTATGTGGATAGATCTGAAAAACTTATTTTGAGGGTAGGTTTTCGCAAGAAGCCAAAATGGAATTGGTAACAATAAACCTATGAGGAAGAAGAAATTTAAGGCTGAGTAGTGCCCAAATTTTCCAAACATTCTCATTGGGCCAACAAGGCCCCAAATAATGGAGGCATTATAGAAGACGTCGCTGCCAGGGCAAGTCCATGGGCTTCCTGGTGGAAGTTTACTTGGGTCGCATATATCCTCCACAGTGTCGAGAAGCAGCCACGCTGTTCCATAGGAAACAGTAGCCGCTATCACACTACCTGTAAACTGTGATTTTAACCACCAAAAATATAGAGATGTTAGGTGACTTCATTAGTTGAAAGATCCACTTGCATACCACTCACTTCTTATGTATTTGCATGTATAACACTTATACTTCAATTATTACGTACCTATCACATTATCTGTGCATGAAAAGTTGAATTTCACCCTTTAGAAGTTAAAATGAAGGTATTTTTGATGTGATATGAAAGATTTAGGCGGTATTAATGTAAAAAAGTAAATTTTAGGTGTTCGATATATAATACATTAGAATTAAGTGTTATGTATGTAAATGCCCCTTCATATTTTAAAGTTATTTTAATAAATTTCTATGTAAAGTTTTATATGAAACAAAGTTTAGATGATTAATTGAGATTGTTTTCTCATCATATTTTACTGAATTATTTTCTCAATGAAAATTTTTACCTTAAATTTTTCATGACAAAAAACATGGTGAAGGAAGTCTTTGTATTTAACACTGGGCAGCTAAATTGTAGTTCAAAATTGTAGTTTGCATTTTTAAGTACAATTCATAATAAAATTATTTCAGCCCTTTTTCAATTTTAAGAATTTCTCAATGTTTATCTTATAAATGAAATAATATCAATGCTGACAGTTAAAATAATATCAATAGCTTCCATTAGCTTAAATACCTGTGTGAAAAACATTGCCTTTGGGGGTATTTTCATGTAGTGTCCCAGATTTAAATCGCTTAAAAGTGTGAGTGCCTGTCCCAGACTTATTGTGCCGTACATCTTGAATGTCACATTTGCTAGAGGCTTTCCAGGTAACAGTAGGCCGACAATGTACTCAGAAAGAACATTAATCCCAGGTGCCTGCATAATAATTATTTAATAATGAAAAGTTAACATAGAATGCATACTAATATTTAGAATTTTCACTTTTTTTATTCACAGTTTGAGTTATCAAAGAAATATATAAGCATTTTATTCTACATATCATATTACTTTCCCCCTTAGTTTTAAGATTTCTGAGTAAAATACAGCGTGGTAGGAGATTTGGGAGTTTCATGACTTACCAAGCTCTTTAATATTATTTTAAAAACTAAAAATGTTTGAGAATTAGAGGAAGAGTATTCGGTCCCCATTTTTCAGAATAAAGGGGATGCACAACAGTGTGCAAATTATAGAGGAATTAAGTTAGTGTGGCATACATTAAAATTATGGGAGAGAGTAATTGAACATAGGTTAATATGTTATACAAAAATTTCTCATAATCAGTTTGGATTTATGCCCGTCAAGTCTACTATCAAAGCTATACATTTATTGAGAGGTTTGATGGAGAAGTACAGAAAGACTAAGGATGATCTACATTTGATTTTTATTGATTTAGAAAAAACTTATGATAAGGCTCCAAGAGAAATTGTTTGGAGAGTCTTAGAAAAGAAAGGTGTCGATATTACTTTTATTCAAGTCATTAAAGATATGTATGCTAGATCTGTTACTTGTGTTTGAATAGAAAGAGGATTGACCAAGTATTTTCCAATTTCACTTGGATTACATTAGGATCGGCTTTAAGCTCATATATTTTTGCTTTAATTATGGATGCTCTTACTGGACATTTACTGGAGGATATATCTTGGTGTATGCTTTTCGCTGATGATATACTTCTTGTGGATAAGATTAGAGAAAGAGTTAAAAAAAAAACTTAATTTAAGGAGGTTTGCATTGGATTCTAAGGGTCTTTGCTTGAGTAGATCTAAGACTGAATACATGGAATGTAATTTTAATAGTAGTAGATATAGTGGCAAATTTGTAACTATGGGTGATCAAATTATTAAAATGTTTAATCAGTTTAGATATCTTGGGTCTATTGTTCAAAGTGATGGTGATATAGATGGAGTTGTTATTAGTAGAATTCAAGTTGTTCGGTTGAAGTGTAGGAATGCATCGGTGGTAGCTTCAGTGGTAGACAAGATTAGAGAGAATCATCTTAGATGGTTTGGTCACATTATACGTTGACCATCTGTTGATTTAATTAGGAGAGTAAATGTTTTAGATTCGACTTATGTTAAGAAAGGCAGAGATAGACCTAAAAATATTGGTATGATCTTAATTTATTAGAATTAAATAAAAATATGACACTCAATAAGACACAATGGAGAAAAAAAATTCAAGTGGGATAAAGGCTTGTTGTTGGTGGTGGTGGTGGTGCTGCCAAGTAGTTTAGTTGGTAAAGATAGTAGATGTCAAGGTATTGGGACCTGATCCCTCTTGTATTACTATGTGCCTCAAAACTTAAATTTTAAATAAAAAAGATGCAATTACGTACATAACACTTGAAACATTGCTATTTACAAATATAGCACCCTCTTTCATTCATTTTTTCAAATTCTCACTCAAATATCAAAATTCATGATAGAAGCCCAAATCATATCTTTCATTTTTATCAAATTCTCAATGATTTGATCATGACATGTGTAAATACATCACTTAGGTAGTTCAAAAAATCACTTAGGTGCTTGATTTGTAAATAGCAATGTTTCGAGTAATATGTATGTAATTATTCTTCTATATATATATATATATATTAATTTCACTTAATAATTACCTGATTTGTCGTTGCCACGATTACTCCAATAGGTAATGTGAATAACATAGCCATGGAAGCAGCCAATAATACCCCCCACCATGGAAGCTGTAGTTGTCTATCAAATCCTAAGCAAGTGAACAAGGAGAGTCCAATTATGACAACCAAGAGAACAATAAACCACCATTGAGGCACCGGCTCATAATTTCTCTTCATCAATCTAGTATGAACATCCTCTATCTTCTCCTTCGCATATTCTTTCGAATTTTTCCACATCTTCCATATATCCCTGAAAATTTAAAATCCCACCTTATGTTCCCTTAAACAAAGCGTAAGATAAGCAGTCTCATTCATAATATTTACTTATGAGAAATTTGTCAAAATAGTCCCTTGACTTTTTGTAGGAGGCCATTTTAGTCCTAGTGTCTATAAAATGCCAATTTAGTCTTTAGATAGTTTTAATATGGGTTGAAATAATCTCCACTGAGGACTATTTCAATCCCAATTTAAATAATCCGGGGACTAATTTGAACCTTTTATAGACTTTGGGATTAGCATAGCCCACCCATGTAAACAATCAAGAGACTATTTTGGCACTTCACTATTTACTTACTTTCCATTATGGAGAGCAACATGCGTGATTGTCGCCGTTAGGGTAGCGAAGCTCATGCAATAAACCAAAGTAAATGCGGCGGTCATGTTCAGCTTGCTATAATCCTCTTCTTGCTGAATATTTAGAGTGAAGCTGTTACTATTTATTATTCGTGTCGTGTTGTATGGTTGGCCGAAAGCGTCGTAGACGTTAGCAGAGATCAAGGGGAAGCGCTTAGCATTGTAAATGTTCGTCCAATATGCGAGCGGAAGAAGAACGTAAACAATTAAGGCGAAGCTTATCATTATATTGATGATTGCCATTGCTGGCGTGGCCAACGGGCTGCCAAGGAAGCCGGCGACGGTTGACCAATCGAGACCGAAGGATCCGACGCCCATCCCGTTGAGTCCGGATCCAATCTGCTGCATGATGATGGAGTTTTTATATACTAAGCAGAGAACGGAGATGCTGGAGACGGCAGGGAAGAGGAAGCCTGGGATGGCATAGTAAGCAAAGCTTCCAGTGAAGACTATGATGAAGAACTGAAACCTTGTTAGCCCTCCCTTCTTTCTCTTCTCTTTAAGATGCAGTGCTCTGGTAAAGGAAGTAAAATATGAGCATGGAATAAATATTCAGTTTTGATAATTGTTGTGGTAAAAAATGAATTAAATTGGAGTTGAAATTACTTGAAGAGGGAGACTTGAACAAGGTTTGATGGCCACCACATATATGGAGAATCGACCAAGTACTTTCGGAAAATACCAGCCCAGCTATAGCCAAGCAACTGCCATGTTTGAAGCATGAAGTTTAATCAAAACTCTAAAGAAGGTGTGATTGCATTATACTAATTTGGTTTTTGTCTAATTTCATTTACACTACCCCTCCTATAATAAAATGATTAAAATAATGAAAAATTAGGAAAAAAATGATAAAAATAGTGGCATTTACTTCTATACCACCCAATTCTTATGTATTTGCATATCTACCAACTAAACTTTACTTGTTTACATTTATATTATCCAAATCTTTCATATCACAAATGTAAAATATATCTTTTCATTTACATGTATGCTGACATATATGTAAAAGTTAAAGTTTAGGTGTTAGATCGGTAAATATTTAGGAATTGTGTGGTATCTATATGTATATCTTCCATTAAAAAACATTGATGTAATATTTATTAAACTCGCATAATAATTATCTCTCTATTTCTTTGTTAATATCAAGTAAAAGGCCAAAATACCCCCCTTACCATTTACATAGGCTATTTTAGTTTCAAAGGCTATAGAAGTATCAAATTAATCCCCAAACTCTTTAAAATGGAATTAAAATAGTCCTCTGTGGAGACTGTTTCAGTCCATATTAAAAGATTATGAGGATTAAATTGACAATTCTTTAAATTTTAGGAACTAATAGTACTCAATGTAAAGAGCCAGGGGACTATTTTAACACTTTTCTTAAATCAAAACTTTAAACTTTTATAATTGCATTTCTCACCTGTGTGCTATGTACTAACAGGAAGGCGGCCATGGGATGAATCTTTCTATGATAGAAAGCCTTAACAATCGTTATTATTCCGATGGCGGCCGCACCGCCAGAGCCCGCTCCGGCGAAGATGGTGATGAGGCAGTGCTCCTTCATCGAAAACGGACCCGGATTGAGCGAAAAGGACCAATTTGTAAAAGGTACTTTTACATCTCTTTTCGGAATAGATTTCGCCAGAAACCTTCCTATAGGTAGAGTTATAATCTGAATACAAACTGAACTGATAAACAGCTGATTTGTTCTGTACCCAAAGAATGTGTTTGCAAAGGATAGTATAACACATGATATTACACCAAGCACCCATGCACGCCAAGTTAGCACTGTGAGTGTTGGATTGTCTGTTGGGTCCACAGTTAGTCTCACCTGCTCAATGGGATGGTCATTCTCTTCAACTGCAAATTGGCACATTTGATGGGTTATTTTGAAAATTAATTCAGTTTTTCCGTCAATAAGTTTTGCAAATGGTACATTATTGAAATAATAATGATTATGTGATAGTATTTGATATGAGCTTTCTGTAGTGCATGGTGGCATTTACATACATAACACCCAATTCTGATATATTTACATATCAGGCACCTAAACTTTACTCTTTGCATTTATACCACCCAAATTTTTCTTATCACATAAAAAATAGACTATTTCAATGTTTAAAAAGTGAAATACACATTTTTATGCATCATAAGGTGGCATGTATCTAAAAGGGAAGTTTAGATGTTTGGTATGTAAATTTATCGGAATTAAGTGGTATGTTTGTAAATTTTCCTAGTATATCTATCATATCATATCATATTGAAGCACAATTGAAGTATATATATATATACATTGGACACATAAGACGCGCATCAACTGTGCTCCAATATGATATGATATATGTGCTTTTTTAGGTGATATAAAAGATTTGGGGTATAAATGTAAAAAAACTAAAGTTTCTGTGTTAGATATATAAATACATAGGAATTGGGCGTCATGTATGTAAATGATCTTTCCTTTGTTCTAATATTGAAATATATGATTTATGGAAGTGAAAAAGGATTGACATTAATGATAGCTTCATGCAACTTTGTGTGTGTTTTCATTGAAGAAAGATGCATTCATTGTTATATGATACAAGTTAAAGGTCATAATTGCAAATAAATATAACTTAATCAAAATGCAAACAAGTAAATAATAACCAGAAATGAACTCTTCAACACTATCAACATATTAGTGAAGTAATCTATAATTTGAAGGCTTATAAATAATTTCTAATATTAGCTAATTATAATTAGTAGAAATTAAAAATGCACATAATAAATCATAGGAAAAGAAAATAAACTAAGATTTTTGAAATAAATTTGAGATAAATATTTACCTTGCCACCCTTCTGCTGGGTCCAAATCATATTTCTGCATTTTTGGGGAAGCAGGTTGAATTGTGGCTTCTTCCATGGCACCTAATTCCTCTCCAGATAGAGATGCAGCAAGCCATTGTTCTTTCTAGATTTAAATAGATCATGTCATATAATTTTTTATTAGGACTTTTACATACATACCACCCAATTGCTATGTATTTACATATCTCACATCTAAATTTTGCTTGTTTACATTTATACCACCTAAATCTTTCACGTCATATTAACAATACCTCTATTTTAGCTTTTTCATGAATAGGTAGGGTGGCATGCATGTAAAAAATAAAAGTTTAGGTGTTAGATATGTAAATACATATGATTTTAGTGGTATATATGTAAATCTTCTTTTTTTTGTTTATTAATTTATAATATTTTAAATGGAATTACACTGTCACCAGTGCCCCGACGGTAAATGCAGCTTAGGAGTGACAACTTGGCGTTTGGTTTTGTCAGGAATTGTGAAGGCTCGTTGTTTTTTTTTAATATTTTTAATTTTATTCCCCCGTAAAACTTAATTTATTTATTCCTAAGCCTCAAAATATATCCTTATAACGAAAAATTTTTCTGTGGACTTCTGACGTAGCTCTACGTGCGGCGCAGGGTATTCCTGAGTTATTTTCAGGTTATTTCTGGGTTATTTTCAATAATCCCGAAATAACCCAAAAATAAACTGCAATCTTTATTTTTGGGTTATTTCGGGATTATTGAAAATAACCCAGAAATAACCTGAAAATAACTCAGGAATACCCTGCGCCGCACGTAGAGCTACGTCAGAAGTCCACAGAAAAATTTTTCGTTATAAGGATATATTTTGAGGCTTAGGAATAAATAAATTAAGTTTTACGGGGGAATAAAATTTGAATTTGAAAATAGAATTGAGTTTTAAGGGGCGAAATAATTTTGGATAATTCACACAAGTCATCATAATTTATAATATTTGTAAAATTGTCACTTATCAAAATAAAAACAAATATATATTTGCATATGACATGATCTAATCATTAGGAAATTGATAAAATCATTTTTTTTTAAGAAATGACCTCATCAATTCTATTCTTGCCAATCAAAATGAAATTGATGATATTTTGCCATTTTACTACAAGAAGTTATGTAATATAATACTTAAGCTTTGATGTTGTGAGCATCTCTCACTACAGAGGCAAAAGTGGGTTCCAGTGAACCTGACCGTGCGCTTGCTCGCCTGACTCGCTTGAAAAGCAAAAAAGCCAAGCCAAGCGACTATGTTTTTCATTCCTTTCCAATTTTAGTAAGTTTCCTCGTTTCCTCTCATTCATTTCTAATTGTTTCCTATATTTGTGTTGTACTATGGTATTGATTACAGTTTTTATTGTGTTCCTATAAGGACAGCCGTCGGTGTCCACTATTTTTCCGCCTAGGGGCTATATCCAAGATCGAGTGGTGCTCTGATTGCATCTCATTTCGAGATGGTGATTTTACTCTAAGGGTTGAGTGATGCTTCAGCTTTATCTCTTTCCTGAGGTGATGTTTATCATTTCCCAACTCCTCTACATCCCTCCCATTTCGCTACAATGCATCCCTCCTCGTTGCAGCTCCCCGACAACAGCCCTTTTTCACGTAGTTTCTCATTTCCCAGTTATCCTCCTCACCGCAGCAGCCTCTGGACAACCATCCTTTTGTTGTTTTGAGTCCCACGCATTCACCGCCGTTGTCATCATTAATCCCGCTCGCTTTCGTAGCTCCGAATAGTGGTTTTGGGCTATTTGGTTGCCATTCAAGCCCTCCTGAACCACTTCCCTATCACCTAGTCGCTTTCCCGGGCCTATTACACCACCTAATTACCACATATCTGCAATCTCATCCACCTGAAACACCATCCTCGTAGCCTAGTTGCTATTCTAGTCACCCATACCTGCCTCTGATGGTTGTTTCTCCGCTGTCCATCCCACCTATCCACTTATTGTCGTCCCAGACGGTCAATATCCACTATTTCCTAGTTGGACCGCCCACTTGCACTACATCCCCCACTTCCAACATTGCTGCCACCATTCTGGACCTCCAACAACCACCACCACCACCACCACCACCATCGATATACCCTATTGTGAGTTTATGTGTGGTTTATGTTGTTATTTTCTCTTTCAATGTGTTTTTTTGTAAATGTTTATTGTCTTTTCAGCAACAATATTTATTTGTTTATTATCGTTTGTGTTAACTTTGGTATCATCCAAGTTCAAAACCAAGTTTAGAAGATGATCACAAGGGATTAAAGTAAAATGGTTAAGAGGTAAATTCATATTTTATGGCAACATGATCAAATTGTTGAGAGATATGTTGTACGTGTTCGATGGCCATTTTGTAGTTAAGGGTGTAAGTGAGCCAAACCTACTTGTGAGCCAGTTAGGCTCAGCTCGATAAGTGGCTCGTGAGTTGAGATTGATGAGCTAACAAGTCATGCTCAAGCCAGCCCCCAACTTGACTCGCCAGCTCGTGAGCTGACTCATTTTAAAAGAAATATTAATATAAAATATTTCAAAATTTGTCTTTAAATTATTAAAAATATTTGAAAGAAAAGTATTTATATTTTAAATCAAGTGATTTCTTATTATTTATCTCCTTATCACTCATTATTTTCATCATTTTATTACAACACAGGCTCAAATAAATATTATTTTCTTTCTTTTACAATAAATAAGTGGACTCATAAGCCATTTTGAACTAGCAGACTTAAGCTCCAACTCGGACTTAATTAAAGCTCGAGCACGTGCTACAAGAATGTCACAGACAAATAGTCCCACATTGGCTAGGTGTAGGGCCGAAGAGCAGTATTTAAGTCCTGGGCTGCCCACCATCCATTAGGGCTCTTTTGGGAGGTGACATACAGCTGAGGATGGATTGAGCTCCTTAACTCGTTTAAGCCCCTATCTTTGTTGTACAACTGTTATCATCATTGCCTCGAGCCTCGAAAAAAAAAAAAAAAAAAAAAAAAATCAACTTTAGCGGAGAAATTACCCTTATTTATTTTTTTTTTATTTCAAATATTTACTTGTTTTTCTAATATTTAATTCAATTTATAAAACATATAACTATTTTTATATTATTTCTGCTTAAAAAAACTCCCTCCCTCCAGCAAATAATTCTAATGTATTTACACGTCTAACATTTAAATTTTACTTTTTACATTTATATCGCACAATTCTTTCATATATCATTAAAAATCACTACTTTAACTTTTAAAAAGTGAAATACAAATTTTTCATGTATAAAAAAACGGTATATCTGTAAAAATCGAAGTTTAGGTGTTAGATATGTAAATACATAAAAATCTTGGGATACGTATGTCAATCATCCTCTTGAGAAATTAAAACGAAGAAAAATAGGAATTGACACAAATCCAGAAGAGCATATAGAGATTTATAAATTTGCGAGGTTCGACAAAGATGCCTACATCATCGAGAGTAGAGCGGCGATTTCCTTTTCAATATTCAGAAAAGAGTACAGAATACAGAATTCAGAATCTCGAAATCTCACATAGGGTTACAAGCATGACATATATATAGCATTATAGTACAATATGTAATTACTTAAATTACTCATGTACCAAATCGCGGGGTGTTGCCCCTAATGAAACTCGCCCGATTGGACAGATCCTTCCGCTCCACTCCGCTCGTGAGTTTAGTTCCGCTCCAGCATCTGTCCCATTTATGGTATATGAACCATACCCAACAAATCGCCACATTGGCAAATATCCAGCCCCTCTGGAGAAATGCATGTACCCAACAAATCTTCACTTTGACGAATATTCAGCCCCTTAGAAGAAATACATATACCTAGTAAATCTCCACCTTGGCGAATATCCAGCCCCTTAAGATAAATTAAGAGAAATGCATATACCCAACAAATATCCGCTTTGACGAATATTCAACCCCTTAGAAAAAATACATATACATAATAAATCTCCACCTTGGCGAATATCTAGCCCCTCAGAAAAAATACAAAATATCATGAAGTTTCTTACACCGAAGTGGGTGTCAACAATTGCAAACATTTAACAAGTTCAAGCAATACAAACCATGCCAGTCAACAATTGCAAACATTTAACAAGTTCAAGCAATACAAACCATGCCAGTCAACAATTGCAAACATTTAACAAGTTCAAGCAATGCAAGAACTTGTTGATAGTACCTGGCTTGGTCAACATATCTGTTGCAATTTCATCATATGATTCAACAGAGTGAACTTCACCTACAACTGTACTCTCCAACAGTTTATAGATATTACCTACAGTTAACTTTCATTTCATAACAGTTAGTGCACCTTTAACAATTCTGATGGTTTCTCTATTCTCATCCTCCATGGCATATGATTTTGCTGCTCGCAAAGCTTTCAAGATTTTCTGTGGAGCCAACAAATATTTCACCCTTGTTTGTAACAATCCGAAGTTAACAGTTTCATTGAACTTCACCACCTCAAATTTTGCACCAGAAATCGCCATCTGAAATTAATCCTGCAATGAACTCCTCTGCAAATTTTTCTCTTGAATTTCCAAATTGCTTGAGCCAAAAATTGCACTCACTTTGATCATGCCACAAATCTTTTTAAATAATCACTTAATTAAGATTCTATTAATTAAGTTTCTCTTAATTAAGTGTTTTCCTTAATTATATCTAACAGCAAGATTTTCATATTTGCATTTTATGTAAATTATTTTAAACATTAAGTTTCATAAATATAAATATGAAAGTTTAGGGATTTGATATGTAAATTCATTAGAATTGTATGATTTGTATGTAAAATTTTCAAAGTATTTATACATTTTATTATTATTTATTATTTTTACAATATTATTATTGTACTTTTATGACAAATTAACTTTTCAATATTATTGCTGCAAACGTTGTCCTCGTATTTTGTGGAGTTTTCAGATATACTAATATTAGACAAAATATTTGGGGCCTTTTGGGCACTTACATGCACACCATGCAGCTCTTATGTATTTACACTAGGGGAGTAAATGAACCGAACACGAACGAATAAAGCTTGTATTCTTGTTCGGTTCATTTGAAATTTAGTTCGTTTGTAATATGCTCGTGTTCGAAAGTGTTCGTGTTCGTGTTCGTTTCTTAACGAAACACGAGTGGTACGCGAACGACGAGCCAGTTTGACATCTCTAATATTAATATATATTAATAATATATTGTATTAATTATATAACATATATTATATAAATATATAATATCTATATACTATATTACTGATATAGTATATTAATATATTATTATTATTATTTTATTATATATTATAATTTATATATTTTAATTTTTTAAAATATCATAAATTTTTTATATATAATTATTTTAAATTATTTTATATTTTGAACAATAACAATTCGAACACGAATGAACGCTTCATTGTTCTTGTTTGGTTCGTTTAACTAACCGAACGAAAAAAAATTTGTTCACGTTCGTTTCATTTACTTATCGAACGAACCTAACACGAACTTATTGACGAACCGAACACTGCAAGCTTTTTTGACAGCTCTAATTTACACATCTAACCCCAAGATTTGGTGTTTTACATTAACATTATTCATTATTTTTTTTTCATAATTATTGTTGTACTTTTATGACAAATTAACATTTCAATATTATTATTGTACACATTGTACTTGTTATATTTTGCGTATGCATTAGGGAGATATAAAATATTTGGGGCATTTACATAAGCACCACATAATTCTTATGTATTTACATGTATGACACTGGGATTTTCATTTTTACATACATAGCTCTCCAATCTTTGATATTACATAAATAACCTCACTACTATTTTCTTTTTAAAAGTGAAATAAACACTAAAAAGTGACGTACATTGTACGTACATATATAAGTCAATATTTAAGAACTTATATGATACGTCTGAGACAATAAGCTAATTATGGTGCAAATTAAGTTTGGCTTCATGATATTATAAGTTGTTTTTGTTATACTCGAGTTTGAGCTAAGCAATGACGTACATATTCATACTTACTTTATTTATTTATTTTTTTAATATTAGTGTTTATTTTATTCTCGACTTATTTTAAAGAGTATATATTTCAATGAGTTGGGGCGGGTAGTTGCAAGGCGGTTAGTTGCAAGTGTTTGAAAAAACAGTTATGAAGTTGTTAAAGAATAAGTTGTTTAAAAAACTGTGGTGGTCGTTACATTTTTTTTTTAAGAAGACAAATTATAGTTTTCTAGCAGTCACTATAGGTCGTTAGATATGATAAGAAAACAAGACTTTCAACAGCAGCTTTTTGAAAATGCATATAAAACGCAATTTTGCCAAACAAGAAAAGCTACGTTGCGGCACCACACTGCCACTGCACCCCAAACACACCCGTAATAAAAGAGTAACGTGTGTAGCCAATGAAATCACGTCACGACACCCCGTACGACAGGAAAAAAAACGGTGCAGTTCCCCCCCCCCCCGGTGTTATTCATGTGTTATTAATGTGTTACTAATGTGTTATTGTGTTATTATAACACCAAGAATATTCTCATGACACAATAGCACATGAATAACACACAATAACACAAGAATAACACGGGGGAATATTCCCCCATGTTATTCATGTGTTACCCCGGTGTTATTCATGTGTTATTGATGTGTTATTGTGTTATTATAACACCAGGAATATTCCCAGAATACAATAACACATGAATAACATACAATAACACATGAATAACACAGGAGGGAATATTCCCCGTGTTATCGCGCCGTTTTTTTTTCTATCGCCTGGGGTGTCTTGGCGTGATTCCATTAGTTACGCACGTTACTCTACGTGCGTGGTACTGATGTAATATTTTTTCCGTAATAAAAGAGTTTAAAATTTGAATTAGTGATTGGCATTTCATATAAAATTATTAAAATATGTATTTTATAAATCTAAATAAACAAGCAATTGAATTAATTCTCAAACAATGTCAAACTACTTTACGCTAATTAAACAAAATAATATATAAGTTGTAAATATTTTTTT